TGCCCGTGTGTGTGCGCATCTCTCTGCGGATACGCGTTCACGTGGCCATGTGCGTGCCTCTGTGCCCATGTGCACGTGTGTCTGTGGTTACACGTGTGCGTGTCCCTGGTGGGTGTGACTCCGTCAGAGGACTTGTCTGTAAGCGTTCTGCTGCCACTCCGTGGGGAGCGTGCATGGGCCATGGGAGCCCTCCCAGCATCTCCTTGCTCATCTCCAAACTCAGAATGGTTGTTGGGTTTGACCACACGTGTGGCGCTGTGGATGGACATTCCCCTCCCAGTTGCTCAGTGGTTCATAGAAATAACAGCTCAGGTTTGATGGAATTGAGGGCAGCTTCTCAAGCAGTGAGGCCGGTCATTATAAGTCGGAGCCCATCACCTCCCTAGGAGACTTCTCTGCCTGGATTTACCCCTGAATCACTTCTTGCTCTGATCTCATTGGTTTAATGTCGATGTTTCTTCTTACTCCTGATCAGATAGAATATAATTGTGACAGTTGCCTGCCTAATTTAAGGGAGAGGGATTCCCCCAAACAAGTACAATGTCTGAAAGTTTTCGAGTGTACGTAGTCGACCACCAGCTTCTCAAAATCTGAACTGTGCAGCACCAGCAGCGGGGTCCTCACTGCTGTCCATAGGGCGTCCTGCAGCCAGCACCGCTTTATCCTCCCCCCGCCTGAGAACCAGCCCTCCCGGGAGGCTACAAAAAAAATAAAAGGTCTGCACAGCCGCGTGAGAGGCGGAAACCCTGAAACCCTGCGGGGATGAGGCACCCCGGGGCACCACGTGGCCAGCTGTGGCACAGATGGGTGGTGGCACTGTGCTGGGATGGGTGTACGGCGGGGGACTGGGGGGGGCCCCCTTGCGGTGGACTTCCCGGGCCCCAGGCCCTTGGTGCCTCTGGTCCGGGTTTTTTTTTTTTTTATTGATTTTAATGTAAAATAGCACTTTGAAGTTTACAATTTATGGTTCCCCGGGCATCGATCGATGGGGGAAGAAGGGGCAGGATCCGCTTTCGCCTTTCTTCTGTGCTTCTCCCCCTTGTCGGGGGGGGGGGGGGG